AATTGAAAGCTATTCCTCATCAGAGGACTAATATCTAGAATATAAAAAGAATTCAGAAACATTAAACCACCTAAAATTAAAGACCCAGTCAAGAAATGGCCTAGAGAAATGAACAGATACTTTACAGAGGAAAACTACAAATGTCTAAAAAATATATGAAAATATGTTTTCTGGCCATTGGAAATCTGCAAATTAAAATGATGTGAGGATTTCATCTTACTCCGGAAAGAATGGCAATTAATAGGATATCAAACAGTAACATATGCTGGTGTAGTTGTAGCAAAAAAGGTACTCTCCTACCTTGGTGGGAATTCAAACTAGTACAGTCATTATGCAAATCATTATGGAGATTATTCTAAGACTTGAAATTAAGAGTTCCATATTAGCCAGCTATCCCCAGCTAGGCATTTTTCCCAAAGATCTTAAGTCATCTTATATAGCAATACTTCCATACCAATGTTTATAGTAGCAAAATTCGTAGTAGCTAACCAAATTCTGGAATCACCCTGTATACCCCTCAACAGGTGAATGGACAAAAAATTGTGGTATTTATGTGCAATGGAATACTACTTGGCTACACAGAATCACAAATTTGAGTCATCTGTAGGAAAATGAATGCTCCTAGAAAACATAATATTGAGTGAAATAAATTAGACATACAAACATGAATACCATACAGTATCCCTCATTTTCATGAAGCAAAGTATAAATAAACAAATCAAAAGATAAAACATGGGTAGACCAAGGGGCACATCTTGTCCAATAGGGAAATGGACCGAGGGAACAAGAAGATGTAGAATTTGGAGGGGAAGAGAAAACAGAAGGAATAAAGGTATGCCATATACAGGCACCTAATAACCCTAATGTATGTAAACATTATAAGCCATAGTATGTTCTAAGACTATAAATAGTATCGACATGTACAAAAAAGGTGATTGGAGAACCAGAGGAAGAGAGGAGTGGAGGGGGAGAGGGGATTAAAAACAAGTTGTAATATGTACATATAACCACTCCTCAAGATGATTGCAAACTACATGAATTACAAACATGTACCAGTAAATTAAAATAAAATGAAAAACAAATGATAATTACTATTGGATGTTACCGTGTGAATAGATCTTGAAAACATTATGCTAATTGAAAGAAGCAAGTCACAAAAAGACAAATAATACAATGCTATTTGTATAAAGCATTAGAAACAGGTAAATACAGAGACAGACTAGCTTAATGGTACACTGGGAGGAGAAAGGAGGGAAGAAAGAAACAGCACATCATTGCTTAATACTCGCATAGCACTGTGAATGTACTGACACTGAGGTTGATACATTAAAATGGTTGATATTATTTTATGTAAATTTTATCCAAATGAAATGGCCCCTTTCCTCCTTTCAAAGTTTAAGTCTCTTGCTTTCCTATGTAAAACAGAATACCTTTTGTTCTTATTAATAAAGAATTTTTATCTAATGAGCTGTTACAATTTGCTTTGAAATATGATTCATGTTTTTCAGGCACTGTATTATTTAAACCTCACAATGGCAATGCTTGTCACATAGAGATACAGAGCAAATTATTTGTGGTATGAATAAATAATACATAAACAAGGTACATGTGAGGCAACTGAAGTTTAGAGAGATTAGTTAAGATGTCCCAGATCTCCTAGTTAGTAATGGGCACAATTCAAACTATACAAACTATTATAAAAAATCACTTTGGGTCTTAGCTGTACACATACACAATATTAGGGAAAGTGCTATTAGAGTTTATCCTGAGAAAGAATTTGATTCTTTTAATATTACCTTTTAAATCATTGGAATTCTATGATGTTACTTTGGTTGCAATGGAAATGATCTGATCTTGGTATCAGACAGCCTTGCATTCTAATTCTCTACTCTTCATTAAACTTGTGTCTTTAGGAAAAGTAGACCTGGCTTTTCTAAAAAACACAGGTTGCTCATTATTAAAAAAAAGCAATTATAAAATGAAGATGGCAGGATTGAGATATGGAATAAGAACCAAAAATTAAAGCTGCCTTATTCTCTTGATTTTATTTTTCATTTTTTGGAAACAGGGTCTCACTATGTTGCTGGTCTCCAATTCCTGGGTTCAAGTGGTCCTCCCGCCTCACCCTCTCAAGAGCTGGCACTACAGGCGTGGAATACAGTGCCAAGCTTATCTTGATTTTGAAATAATAGTAACTGATGCAAAACATTAAGAAAACACTGTGTAGGCCAAATAAAATATATCCGCAGGCTTTTCCCGGCATGTGAGTCACAAAGTTTGACCTCTATATTAGTTAAGAGGAGGCAAGATATTAAGGTAGTATGGTGGTTAAGAGTATGAGCTATGGAGCTATATGAATATGTTGCCATTCTACTTTGGCAATTTACTGGTTTTATGATCTTTGATAAATGACTTAATATACCCATTCCTCAGCTTACTTCTTTGGAAGCTTGGCATAATGATGCCATATACCTCATAAGGTTTATAAGAGATCAAATTGTGTGTGTGTATGTGTGTGTGTGTGTAGTCACTTAGAAACAGTAACTCATATGTAGCAAGTACTGTGTAAGTGTTGAAATAAAATAAAACCTAATAAATCATAATCTTAAATTTTCTTTTAGCTTTTAATATTATGTGACTAAGTAAGAAGTTATAAGAATCTATACTGATTCCAACTTGGTCTTTACCTTAATGTGCTCATCTGTCTCAGTAAACACCTCTGTGTTGAGGAACAGTAATTATACCTGCCTCATATAGTTGTGAGAACTAAATGAATTGATATGCAGTTAATATATTTATAGTACTTAGAACACTTTCTGTCACAAAGTAAGCCCTATATAAGAGTTACATATTATCATTACTGATTTTAAAAATTCATTGGAGAAGCTGTTGTGAATCAGTGCTTAAGAACTCTAGAATGCTTAATAGTGCTTCCAATATGGCTTGATCCTAGGAGAAATGTCCATACCATAATATTGGAATTAAACTCTAGACTCTTTAGTCAATCATTCAAAAAGACCAAGAGTCTGAGAATAGTAAAATTTCCCAGTCATTACATAGTCTGATTAATGATCCTTAATACTAGATTGAGAAAAAAAAAGGAAAAACAACTTAAATTTATATCTATGAAAGCAACTAATGAAATTTATTTTGTTTTCCAGAATATTTCTAAGAAGTTGAGAAAAATTAAAATCTGATTTGATGTATAGAGTTGATTAGAATAGCTTTCTTAAAGTTCTGTACTAGAGAAAAGGGTCACGTGTTTTCTTTCTCAGTATACCTAGGGTAGAATACTTGTTTCTCAAATATGTAAGAGGAGGTGGTTGTAAGTAGAGTCAGGTCTTGGGATTGAACTACAACATCTCCTTAACCATAATTTGTAAGATTAGAAGTTCTGATTTGAAGGGCTAAAGAAGAGTTTTAGAAATGCTTGAGTTTGAGAAGATGTACCATGGGGCAAGTGGTAATTGTAATATGATGGGAATAGGAACCCCACAATAAATGGACAGGGAACAATCTAGACACAGTTTTAAAGTGCTGGTAATTGGAGTCTAGTGTTCAAAAGACAATAAATATTGGTGGAAGCTCTTTCGAGAGGACATGGATTTCCTCAATATGAAAAGATAGGCGCTAAGGGAAATTTCACTGTGAAAAAAGCAGGAGCTTTGTTGTGAGGGAGACTGTATATAAAATGAAAACTACTGAAGGCCATTAATAGTACAGGTAGAGGACTGGACAGATGTAGGAGGGAAAACGCAAAGGAAGGAGTTAGGGGGGTTGTGTTGTCACTGTATAATTCTGAATTTGAAAGTACCAGATATACTGTGTGAAATAAAAAAGGAATGGAGTGTGTCCTAGTGTGATAGGTGAGGGTAAAAAGAGTCATAGAGGGGCCCTCTAATGTGAAGGAACAAGAAGAGAAACTCTCACTGGCAAGGATAGAAAATATTAGAAACTTCAGGAGGAAAGGGAAAGGTTTCCTCACTTTGAAAAGACAGGGGCAAGTGCAACCCTAGAGGAAGCAAGAGGAAGACAGAATGTGGTGTTAACAGCGTGAAAGGACTATAGGAAGTGGGGAATGGGTTTCTCAGAAAAGATATAAAGTCGGAATCATGACAAAGCAGGATCACGATGTGAGAAAAGCAGGGTCACTAATATGAGGACTCAGAAAATCATGTGAGCCCCTAATGGGAAGGTGTGACCACTCCTCCAAGCATAAAGGCAGGAAGAAACTTAAAGGAATCCCAGTGTGATAAAAAAAAAATCAGGGGTTGGAGTGTGAGAGGAGAGAATTTTGTGTAGAAACTCCAGCCCCCCAGAGTAGCTGAAGAAAAGGGCAAAGCCCACACAGAAAGAGAATGGGAGAGCTTATATTCATGTAAAAAAGAGAGACCTCAGTGGTTTAGAATAGAATGTACTGTGAGGGAGTCACAAGTGAGTGAAGATATGAAGCAGTTCAGCCAGGAGTGTGGAAGAAGGACAGATTTGAATGGGAGAAAAAAAAAAGATAGTTAATAAGGAGATAGGAAATATGTTTGGATTCTTAACAGGAAATCCGTAGTATAAAATCCTAGTAGGATTGTAGCAGGAGGAAAAATGGTGGGGCTCCCTTTTGGTGCATGGGTGAGAATCATAGTGTGAGTAGCTTAAGGACACAGGGTATGGGGTTTCCTCCAGTGGGTAAGATAGGATCCCTAAGAGGAGAGCATCAGGCACCAAGTGGTTAGTCTACACGAGAAAAAGAGGGCCCTACGTAAGAACCTGGAAATTACTGTGGGTAAGGTGAAGAGATAAGAAATCCGAGGTGGGAGACGATGGCGACCTGGTGGGACTTTTGGGAGGGCGTAGGAGATACTGTGGAAAGCCAGAGATTGGGGAAAGGCAGCGAAAGAAGAACAGCAGAGTGAGGGCTAAGAGCACAGGAACACCAGTATGAAGGGTAGGGCAGACGATTATGCTGTAGCATAATTTCCCCACCCTAGGTGCCCAGCTCCACTTACCCAGGCAGAGTTCAAAGACGTAGGCATAGTAGGACCAGAGCACGACGAGGACAATAACGAGCACTGGCACCCAGGACAGTACCCGGCGGCAGCACCGCAGCCCCCCAGACAGAGCCATCTTCCACCCCCGCCGCATCTTCGTCTCGAAGATCGACCGAGCAGGTCTGCTGGCGTTGGGTAGGAACTGCTTGGGCGGCGGCTAGGCGGCTGGAAGGCGCGCTGTGCGGCGCTCCACTGCATAGCCTGACGGGAACCTTCTCACTTAGCTGGTGCCACCTGTGGGGCTGCACTGTTGAGTCCACCCTGCCTGACACAATAGGTGTGAGTCCCGGTGTGGAGAAATTGGCCCTGTTAGAACGGGAGGCAGTCAGGGAGTCAAGGCTGGGCACACTCCGAGAGAATGCAGTCACTCCCCTTTCCGCTCATCACTTCCCCACCCCCAACCCTTTGCTTCAGCTCTCCATGCCTGGCCAGGGCTCTGTAAAACTGTAAAGGAGAAGAATTTTGGGTCCTCCCATTCTCTGTTACTGCACTGCGACCACTCTCATCTTTCCAGTTTTGTTTTCTTTGTCCCTATCTTTCTGAGTCTCCACTTTTTCTCTTCCTCTCCCTAACCCCTCCCATGAGTACGTATACAGTATGAAAGATGCATACCATAGCATCTTCTGACTTAAAGGTCATCCAGCTCCATACTCTCACTGCTGCTTGAACAACATGCTTAACACGTAGTGCTGCAGTCACTGCTGGGGTAAGTCCATTGACAGCAATCTCTCCCTTCTCACCTCTCCCTGCAGAACTATCTAAGTATATTTTAAGAATAAACACAATCGTATAGAAGAATAAATGAGGGAGATAGTGATTTTTGAACGGGCCAAAAAAGCTTTATGAATTAGAGTTTTCCAGGCAGATGAGACCAGAAGGTCTTTTTGGATAGAGAAAACAGTATTTGCAAAGACATGGAAAAATAAAGGTTGAAAAGTGTTCCAGGAACAGTGAGTGTGACATGAACAGAACCTGTGTAAAAAAGGAAAGGGTGGGGTTAAGACTGGGAATAAAGCTGAGGAGAAAGTATGAAGCACCTTTTATGCTTTATCAGACATAATTCTGTAAAGGAGATTATAAACACCCATCAGAGGTTTTGTGGGCAAGTAAGTGACATCAGAGATTTGTTTTTGTAAAAAAAAATAACCACAGAAAAACAAACAACAACAACTAAAATCTGGCAGGATTTTGGAGAGGAAGATGGCTTGGAAGCAGGGAGACAATTTAGGAAACAGTTTAATGAAACACACATCTTCAGAATGATTGCTTTCTGTTAGGTCAACTTTGGTATAAAAAAAATAACAAAACAGTTCACTATGTCCAAGAAGTTCAATTCTTATCAAAACAGTATGTAGTTTTTGACCTGATAGAAGAGATATGGTAGGATGCTGACATTTATGGACTTTACTTTCACTGTATTAGTGATTCCCAAAGGTCTTTTATAGGAGGAAATTATAATTTTGCTGAGATACATCTTTGAATCACGTTGACTACTATGTGGGAGCAAAGTTTTCTTTAACGTTCTTTGTTCTTGATTTATGCTATATATGGAATAAATTTTTGGAGTGATGTTAGCTTTTTGAGCCTAAAGACCGATGTTACTGAAGTGAACAGTTTAACTTACAGTATTTAACAGACAAATTATTAAAGCCCTAAAGTTCTAACGTGGATACTTCGATTTTTTCTAATTAGTAATGACGTTGGGTCTCTTAGAATGTATATTCTGGGTCTGCCAAGGATATTCTGTTTAAACCAGCTAGTTTCAAGGAGGTAATGATTAAATATGAAAGGGACTGTCTCAGCTGAGTTTTTCATAATGACTATTGTAGGCGTTCACCAAGAAGATAAGAGGTAGGAGTAGGCATTAAGGGTGGGGGAATGCCAGGCAAAAGGAAATATGTAGTAGCAAAGATGGGTAAAATATCACTGCATAATTAGGGGACTGCCAATATCTCTTCTTCCTGGAAGATGTTAAAGTAGTCTAACCAAGAGATAGCAAGGGCCTAGGCATCGATAGGAAATGAAGAGAGGGAGAAAAGGAGGTAGATTCAATATGTTTTGGGGAAGAGGATCAACAAAGTTTGTGGACCAGTAGAAGATAAGGAGAGAGAGAAGTCCAAACCAATGCCTAGATGAACAGTATTGCTGGTCACTACTATACAGGCTTTCATGACAAGAGTTTTGTTAGAAAGTGACAGCTTTCATTTTTAGATATGGTAGGTTTTGCTTGTAACTTCTAAGGTAGCTTGTATACCAAAGGGCTAGGTGAGGGCTTATTATAGAGATAGCTCATACAAAGAGTAGCATAAAGTGCCAAAAACTAGAAAGACAAACCAAGCTCAAGGATTTGATAAACTATACTCATGAGCTGAATATGGCACACTGAATGTGTTTATGGATGTAGCTGTATAGGAACACAGTAATGTTCATTTGCTTTCCTATAATCTATCATTGCTTTGCACTATAATGGCAGAGTTCAGTATTTACAACATATATAAAATGCAAAGTTTAAATTTAAAAACATAATGTAAAAACTTTAATTTTTATAGAAGTTTTAGATTAATAGCATAATTGAAAGGATTCAGAGAGTCCCCAAATACTTTCTGTCCTAATACATGCATAACCTCTTAGTGTATCAACATCATACACCAGAACGGTACACTTATTACAGTTAATGAGCTCAAATTAACACATAATTTTTATCAAAAGCTCAGCAATGTTGTTAGTATTCATTCTTCCTGTTGTACAGTTTGTGGGTTTGGTAGAATATGTAATGACATATACTGTAGCCATCACTACATTATTATATAGCACATTTTTATTGTCTTTAAAATCCTCTGGCAGCTACTTGTTTATTTCTGTCTTCCTCCAACTCCTAGTAATTACTGTTTTTTTTAGAAAAATCTCTGTAATTTAGCTTTTCCAGAGTGTTAAATAGTTGTTATCATGTAGTGTGTAGCCTTTTCAGATGGATTTCTTTCACTTACAGTAATAATACACAGTTAAGATTCTATATCACTTTTCTGTTTTTGGAGGAGCTGGGGATTGAACTCAGCCCCTTGCACTTGCCAGGCAAGCACTTATTCTGCTGAGCCATCTCCCTTGTCCCTAAGATTCTATATCTTTTCATGGTTTAATAGTTCTTTTTTGGTGTGGAATGATATATTCCATTACCGAAGTGTACCACAGTTTATTTATCCAGTCATCTACTGAAGGACATCTTGGTTGTATCCAAATTTTGGAAGTCATGAATACAGACACTATAAACATTCACGTGTAGGTTGTTGTATGGATGTAAGTTTCCAGCTAATTTGGGTAAGTTTCAAAGGGTGGAACTGTTGGATCATGTGCTTACTTTTGTTTAGACTACCATTTTATATTTAATTTGTAAGATACTGCCAAATTGGCTGACCCATTTTCCATTGCCACTTTTTTTTGTACTTTAGGGAAGAGTCTAATTAGTGAGTTCAGGGTCTCACTACTAGATTGGATTTGTCGTGATCCACCTATTTACAACCTCTGAAGAGCTGGGATTACAGACCCACATCACCATGCACAGTCTTAATTGCCATCTCAGCATGCCCTGGCGGTGGAGCCAGCACAGCAGGACTGGGGATCGAACCCCTGGCCCCTGCACCTGCTTGCAGCACTTTAATCTGTTGAGCTGTTTGGCCAGCTCTCTATTGCCACTTTCTTCTTTCTTCACACGCTTGTCAGCATTCGATATAGTCTGTCTTCTGAATTGTAGTCATTCTGTAAGATCTGTAGCAGTATCAGTATATCAATGTTGTTTTAATTTGTATTTCCATGATGAGGTGTAATGTGGAATTCTTTCAGATTTTATATGACCTCCATATCTCTTCTTTTTTAGTTTTTTATTTTTTATAGAGAATAAAAAGTAGTAAAAAACATTAAAAATGATACAGAATTACACTAAACAAAATAAGAATTCAACAGTGGTTGTTGTATTGCATATTGTTGTCTTCGAATTAGTTGGTCAGATTGCCAGATATAAGCATTTAAAATTGGTCAAAACAATTATAAAAATTAAAGAGGAGGAAAAAGTCATTAACTTCTCCTTTCAACAGAATAGAAATCAGCAGTACAATTATCCAAGCTATCATATATTTTTTTTCCCTTCCTTTTTTATTTTGTCCTTTTTTTCTCATCCCAGTTATCTTTTCCTTTGAACAGATTCTCCCTTTTACAGTGCCATGTATCTTCTTGGTGAGGCATCTGTTCAAATCTTTGACCTGATTGGTTTGTTCATTTTTCTGGTGAGTGAACCCAGGGCCTTTGCACTAAACTACATTCTTATCCATTTTTATTTTGAGACAGGATGTCTCTAAAACAGAGGTCTCACCCAGGACCTCTGTTTGAATTTGTAATGTTCCAGCCTCAGCCTCTAAGAGTGCTGAGATTCTAAGTGTGCACTACCACATCCACCCTTGACCCATTTTAAATCAAAATTCTTATCTTTTATTGTTGGATATTAAAGTTTTTAATATATTTTTAAACAATAGTTTTCCAAAGCAAAAATCACTGTGTGCAGTAGCCCTCTATCATATGTGTCCTTTGTAAGTGTTTTTTCCCCATTATATAGCTTTCATTTTAATACTCTTTGTGGGCCTGCCTCATAGCTCAGTTCTTTCAGTGGCTGCTTTAACAAAGCTGTCAGGCTCAGGTTGCTGTGGTTTGATGCCCACAACTCAAGCTAGCCAAACCTGCCCTGAAGGCATTCCGAGCAAAAAAAAAATCCTTTTAATACTCTTTATAGTGTCTTTTGTAGAGCAGGATTTCCAAATTTTAGTTTTAACAAGATCTAGCTTATTTATTCATTCATTAAGAGTACCTTTGGTATCCTACATAAAAAGTCATCAAAAAACCCAAAGTCATTTTAAGCTTCATCTATGTTATATTTTAGATGTTTTAGTAGTTTTGTGGTTTACATATAGGTCTGTGATTCATTTGATTTAATTTTTATGAGGGATGTAAGGCTTGTGTATAGAATTATTTTACTATATATTAGTGTCCAGTTATCCAGTATCATTTGTTAAGGAGATAGTCTTTCTCAATTACTTTGTGTTTAATCCCCTGTCAAAGA